GATTGAACTAAATCACCCAGGCGCATACGGCGTGGTGCATGTAACTCGGTTCATATGTTCGTAGGGGCCACGGGTCTATTTCTCCAAACTCCATAAAGTTGTGGATCCGTAAAGTTACGATTTCCGCAGATTCATCATCTGCGGAAATCGTAACTTTACGGATCCGCCTGAACTTTACGGAATTTGGAGAAATAGACCCCAGGAAGGTAACTGGGATAGTCAGGGTTTTACAGACCATGCATTTCCAGTTACTTTCCCTTTAAAAGCGGTGGAAGGTATCGTTGAACTGTAGTTCCCACGCACATATGAACAAATGATCATACTCCAGAGGTTCCCTGTCACATAAGTCTGATTTAGTTCAAATATCAAAACATTACGTCAACTAGATAAAGCCTGGCTATAAAGTACAGCCAATAACAACACTGTACAACGTTTTTTCAGAAAGGTATTGTACAGTGTTGTTTAAACGGTGTTCTATGAACGTTGTTTCAGAAACGGTGTTGCATATATATAGTTTAATTCGATGGAAACTAAAAATATCGAAATTGACACTTACCATTCGCCATCTTGCGAAGGTAACGGCTGTTACTGACCAGTGAAAAGGTCCGAAAAAAGAACGCCAAAAGTAGCTGTCATGGAAGTTTGAACAGGAAGGCTAGCTTATTTACCAAAACTTATTCTGCAGGACTTGGACTACATCATAGGCGTAGCCAGGGGGAGGGGGATGCGCACCCCTATAACCAATAAAAATAGAACCATTGGCACTGGCGGATCCAAAAACTAACAAGGGTGGGGGGCACATTTCAAACCACGCAGAAAAAATTCTTAGGCCCCTAAATCCAAAATTGGGCCCAAATTTTGAATTTCTTTCTGATGTGATCCGCCAGTAGTGATTATATAGAAGAAGAAGAGCTTTAAAATGATTCTATTTGAAGCTTCTAGCTCAATTTTGAAGGAATTTTCATCAAGGTTTGTAAAATTCAAAACAAAATAAAAAATCTTGCGTTGGTTCGGTTAGTTACGGTTTCACTGGTGATCAATTGGAAAGAAGACAATTGTATTCGTATTCGTACAACCGGTGCCCCCCCCAGGAATTATGGTCCCCTTTCTTAGCGGCCCTTACCGGCCCTGATTGTGTAAAAGATAATGAGGGAAAGAGTTGTATTTAGGTCACCATATAAATCAATGGAGAGTAGGACCATAATTTGATAGGACCTCCTACTTTTTTACACCTGGCTTCCGAAAGCAAAAGGAGCACGTAAGTTATCGCAAACAATTTCAAACGATTCTAACTTGAATTATGAATATGTTCTGATCATGAACATGGGTGTATCTTTTAGATCCATTCATTATCTTCAAGAAAAGTATATATATAATGATAATTTAGTTAATCAGACTTAAGTGATATTGAAGGGGCAATGGACCAATCAACATACTTTTTCAAAAATGTTGACCTATTTTTCACCCAAAATGCAATCTTTTATTATATTGTTGAATGCATAATTAGAATGTTTTTTGAGACATGTTCGATTTCCTAAAAGGAACAGTTGATTGCTCCAGGGACTTTAAAGATACTGAATTTAGATGACCAAAATGAACTGAAACCAATGGATAGCATGAGATTTTTCAATGGAGAAATAACATGGGGAACACTTATCTTAAAGCAATTAAGTTTTTCTTTCAAGAACTATTTGATACATCAAAATAAAGAATAGTAATGCATTAAACATTATAAAATATGATTGCATTTTTGGTGAAAATGGGGTCAACATCTTTGAAAACGTGTGTTGGTGGGTTGATTGCTAGTTAAATATCTCCAAGTTTGTTTGACTTTATTATTACTGTATATAATTTTCTTTGAAGTAATGAATTGATCTAAAAGATAAACCTGTCTTCATTGTCAGAAAATAGTCATAATCCAGTATATAACCTTCTGAAATTGTTTGCGATAACCTACGTGCTCCTTTGGTAAGATTTTTTGGTTTCTCGATTTTATTGTTTTTATCCTCCAAGTTTCAACTAGATATTTGCAAAGATATCAGATTTTTTCCTAGGAAATACATAAATAAATACCATTATCCTACACTTGGTGTACTAAACGTATAATAACAACAAAAAATAAATTTGATATTTATTGGCAAAATGAATATCCGGAGGATATCGTAACGATATACTCCGGGCGGAGGATATCGTGACGATATACTCCGGAAACCCCAATACATGCGGTGGATATTGTGACGATATACTCCGCTTGTTGATTTCCCGCCAAATTGACTCTATTTGGCATGAAATTCATTTTGCAATGATATTATACATTTAGTACACTCCTTGTAAGTGTAGGATAATAAGAACATCCTATGATTTTTTTTCAGAATATCATTTTAATCTACTCGGTGATATTGATATATGCACTCGTTCGCTTTGCTCTCTCGGGCAGATATCAATATCACCTCGTAGATAAAAATGATATTCCTCAAAATCATAGGATATCCTATAATTATCCTACACTTAGTGTACTAAATGTATAATAACATTAAAAAATAAATTTGATATTTATTGGCAAAATGAATATCCGGAGGATATCGTAACGATATACTCCGGGCGGAGGATATCGTGACGATATACTCCGGAAACCCAATATGCGGAGGATATTGTGACGATATACTCCGCTTGTTGATTTCCCGCCAAATTGACTCTATTCGGCATGGAATTCATTTTGCAATGATATTATACATTTAGAACACTCCTTGTAAGTGTAGGATAATAAGAACATCCTATGATTTTTTTCAGAATATCATTTTAATCTACTCGGTGATATTGATATATTCACTCGTTCGCTTCGCTCTCTCGTGCAGATATCAATATCACCTCGTAGATAAAAATGATATTCCTCAAAATCATAGGATATCCTATAATTATTTATTTGTGTATTTCCTAAGAAAAATTCTGCCATCTGTGGATATTTGGCACGCCGTTATGTACGTAGTATGTACATTCCGGTTTCTGGAAATATCATTTCGCCTCAGAAATAGAATATACCATATACCGTTATTGTTTGGATTATTTACTTTCTTTTGTCTTCATTTCATGCAGTTCATAATGACCAGTCAACGTTTCTCGGACTGTCTTCGTTTCCTAAACGAGAGAATTAATTGTAATTATCAAAACTACGCGATGTATTTCTGAGGTGAAATTATATTTTGAAACCGGACATGAATACCTGCGTTTGTCAAGGTTTGTTGTATGGAGATGCCACATTGCACGTTCATCGTATAAAACAACAATATCATCAATTAATTGATCAAATGACTTTCTACATCTATCAATCAATTTATTGTTATCAGTATCACATAGACAAAGATACTCATTAAACAAGTTTCAACCATAGAATTACATTCAAAGGGAATTCATAAAAATGTTAAAGTTAATTATTTCATTTAAAACATCTGGTAATAAAAGAAGTAGCATGCGTGAGCAGACTCATCAACGCTGCTCTCAGAAAACAAGAATGGCAACTTTGGGAAAGTGCAATCACAAAAATGTGTTTTCAAAATGTTTTCACAAATGCGAATATGCTATTCTAGTATACAGGAATGATGGGCCATTAAGTAGTACATTTACTGCAAACCTACCCTGCAACACCCAACATGCACTAATGACGGCAAAATCCCACTTGCCCAATTGAGTCCAATCGATTCCCACCGGCCACTTTGCCCAATCGAGCCCCATGAGCTAGGCCAAAGTAAGAAGTCCCACCAACATATAACTTTCACCATAGCATCAATAGGACATTGTAACGAACCTTTTATCTTATTTTAAGATCAAAGTGTGGAGAAACTGCGATAAACCCCGCCATATTATTCAACACTAGAGAAGCTAGAATTTTATTTAATTATAAAAAATCTCTGTTTAACTCATGAAGCTAAAGGCGAATTCACTATTTTGTTAAATATCCTGAGTAAACCCTAAGACTTATGAAAATGGTATATTCACTGGTACTCACGTAGTTACGCTGACGAAACGTCAGCGTTACAAGATGGAAGAACTTCCCTCGCTTTTGTTACGTTGACGATCTTCATGGATATTGCCAATGTGACAATATTCATACATTTAGCCCCTCTTTTTTGTTACATTGACGAAAGTCCGTTATATTACTAATGTCAATGTAACAAAAGCGATGGTCACTCTAAATGCATGAAATACAGCTTTATTTAAAAATCAAATTTCAAACCGAGAGCAATTCTAAAAGCTAGACTATATTGTCTACCTTTGTGCCAAATGATAATTCGCAACATGACTTATACGTAAGTTTAAATCGAGAAAACAAAAAAACTCGTATCCAGGAAGTTCATCCATTTTGTTACATTGACGTTCCGTCAAAGTAACTAGTTGTGAAACAGTGATAAATGTAATTCCAGGTCATTTTCGTTTAATGTATTTTTTGTTGAACAGGCACTTCGGTTGGAAATCTAAATTTCAAACCAAAGTGATACCTCAAACAAACTACGAGATATATAGTACGCAACCGAGTGGTCTGACATTTCTACGGCCAATACCAATCCTATGGCCAGAGTAGAATTTCTTCTGCCATATCCTTTAGGAGTCACATTTGGTGGAGACAGTATTTCTACTGTTGCTGTACGGCCTTTGAAGTGCTGACGTATGGTCGCCCCAGGGCGTCCCTATCTGCCATGCTTTTGCGACCGAAAGACATCCGTAGTCTATCTCCGGTCGCTGTAGGTATTTCTGTATTTTGAAAAATTACGGTTGCTTCGGCCAAACTTTTCCTTGGGCCTTTTAGAAACAGTAAATGATTAAATCCCTCATATATCCAACAAAAATATTGATAAAAATCATAACTTATTTCACCTAAATAAAATTTACGAACATTTTGGGCTCACCCTGTATAATCGGATGTGCCGATCATAATGTAGAAGTTGTATTGTTTGCAATAGCACGTGTAGAATGCGTAGGCAGAATGAAGACTATAAATGCTATACTCACAAGTTCCTCACATCGACTGTTCTTAACATCAGGTAAGTGACATTACATGAAATCATGAACAATTATAAAGTATTTCACTCGACTACATTGAACGAAACGTAAGAGATTAAATATGGAAAAGAAAAGGGAATACAATTCAAATAAACCCATTGAGAAAATGAAAATTTTGAAAAAGGTGTAACTTTTTGAGAATTTTTTTTCCCAAAGTATGTTTTCACACAAGGAAACAATGACTATATACTCCAAAACCATTCCATGTGAAATAGATCAAGTTAAGAATTATTACAAAAACGCACTGATAGCAAAGCTATCTATTTACAAATGGTATATTGAAAAAGTGCGAGAAACATGATTCACACATGGCTAGGCATACCCTTTGCATTCGTTTGACTTCACTTCTTAAAAGAGAGCTTCGGCTACTTGTAGTTTAACTAGACTCTGCACGCAGGGTAGGCTAGGAAAGGTGTGTCCGATTCCAGCCAATCAGAACACAGTATTTTTACATGACAACAGTGCGTGAAATAATCAATAACGCATTTATTGTGTATGGTTGTTGAGGTGATGATATTGTAATTGATGCTTTGCCAATACTTGACCCTTGAAAGTTTCATTGAAAATATGTTCTTTTAGGTGATTTTGTAGAAAATATTTTGCATTGTGTGAAAAGAATTTAAGCCCAATACTCAATGCAATTGTGGCTGCTTCATTCCACTCATGCGTTATTTCCTGAACAATGCACTGAGTCCAGGGCTTAAATCTTTAAATTATACTTATGAGCTCGAACAATTATTCAGATTTTAAAATTGTATTTGTTACGAATTCAAATCGAGATCACAACTTTGTATCATAACTTAAAAATAATTAAGTTTAATCGAAATAGCTGATTTTATAAAAAACGAAAACAACCTAGCCATTCATTTATCAGTTTAACAAAAGCACGAACCAAGTTATTAATGGCGTATTCGAATGTACTCACTAAAATTAAATTTTCTTTTTTAGATCTGTAACCAAGTCAATTCATCAAAATATTCGTCAAACTTTTAAAGATGTCAATTGTCGTGTTTCTGTTTGGGTGCGCCCTCTTTATGTCAACATTAAGTGAAGGTTTGTTTCTCTGGTTTCTCGTTTCTGAGACATAATTAAAGCTTGGGTCAACACTCAGTGCAACTCTAAATGAAAATATTTGTAGAATCTTTACAAAAGTCTCGAATCTATGATTTATGGTAAATATATGACAAATATATGATCATAGTATCAAGTCGCGACTTTTAACAATGAACAGAAAAACCGTCAAACAATACGCCATGAGTCATGGCATCATAAACATTAATATATTTCTTTCTAATATTTTAGGCCTACCATTTTGTGCCTACCGGATTTACACACTGACAGAAAGGGGGAAAAATTCCAAGACTGATAATCCCATCTCTATTAAATTCCACATCGACGGTAGCACTTCACCTTGGCACAACCTAGATTCTGATGTAAATGATAGAGAGAGACAACAGTAAGTAGTTTCGTTCAGTGCCCAATGAGCTCCAACAGAGTCCCATGGGATCGGTGGGACTCTATGGGCGCCAAAAGGGCTGGTCCCTTGTACCATTTTGAAACGTAATTGATTCATTTCTTAATATAAACCATAAAAGACATCAACATGACAAAATTAAATGTCATAATCTGCAAATTGTAACGTAATCTAGAAAGTACGAAAGTTTTTCTTGATACTTTTCAGTTGGGACAGATACATTGTACCAAATTCAGGGAACGGTCATTTGACAGGTGTTACAGTTAGGAACCTAAAAACAGACGGCTGGGAGATTGAAGCGGTTAGAATATTATTAATAGTACACAATAATGAGACACGCAGTGTGATATGACATGGAAGATTGTATTTTTGGATAATTTCCTTGAAATAAGATTGGGTTAAAGGCTTGAAGAGGGCGCACAAATGCCTTGATTGGTATACCAAATACTTAATTATGTGAGCTAAGAATTAAGATTAAAAGTTTTCTGAGCGCCATCTATTAAAACTTGTGTATAAAATGCCTTTGATTATGTTAAGCAAGGATTGTTAATACAGTAATCGAAATATTTAATACACTTTTATATTCATTGCAGATATATGTGAAGAATCTATGTACGAACCGAGTGTACGAGTTTTACTGTACTGGTAGTTGTTGGGTGGATAGCCCTGCCGCAACAACAAAATTCCTACCCAGATCCAATACAATCTAGTCATGGACAAGTACAAGAAAAAATATGATAATTAATTGTGAACAAATAATTGAATTAATAAATTCTAGATAAATTGTAAGTGATGTAAATATTGTAATCTTTTATATTATCAAACAAAATGCGGGGTATAAAGAGCACACACGTGTCATCTTTAGTTACTTCTCCAGTTACTTGAACGATAGATCTGTCTTTTTAACACTAGGGGGAGGGGGAGTTTCTTAAAGATATTCTACTATTATATAGTGATATTGTGCTCCGAAAGTGACATCTATAAAATGAAAATGTTTTATATTTACCTTCATGAACGTAAACCAAAGGTATAATTAAGTGATTTTCGTAGACCATGGGACAAGTAGTAGCTAGTAAGCTTAATATAGAAACTCACGGGTTGACAACTTCAGTTGAAGATTTTTCAAAAACTTCTCCTTACTGGTAAAATTGTATTTCCAAATCTCTCCAAATATTCTTCAAAGTGTTTTTCAAACTCATATCATTGATAGCTAGGTTGTTTGCTACACAAATCCAGAACTGAAGTTGTTGGTTTCTATGTTGAGCTTACTACTACTTTTCCCTTGGTATATGGTGATCTTTGTGTGATAAATAGGGGAAACACGTAGTTGTACATCCTTCTTCAAATGACTTCATTTATGCCTAAATTCTATACTTGTAAAATACCCTTGCAGCAAGGATGGTAGTTGTAACAATCCTACCGTTTTTATCGATGTCAAAATCGCTGCATGTCACTGAGACATGTATGTATTGCACAGGATGGGCCACTATAGATGGCACAATTTTTGAAACTTAATCACGCCCGGTGATCGTACAAAATGGATGGAGGGGGATTAGGCGATTTCTGCAAGAAAACTCAACAAATTTGGAAGATTTATTTTTTCAAGAGAAAATTTACAACTGAATTGCCAAATGAATAGGCGCAGTGCATGGCAAAATATGGTAGGTCATCTAGTATTTTTTTTGAACTGATACCCTTCTAAGATATGAGATCTATAAAAAAAGGCGCATCATCACCAACGTGCAAAAGTCAATGTTTTTGCTATAAATCGGGCAACAATGGTCTACACGACCTGTAATAAATACAGAATATCACATCATTTTGAGTGATATCATTTTTATCGCCGAGTTGATATCAAATATCAACACGAGTGAGCGAAGCGAATGAGTGTTGCTATTTGATATCTACGAGGCGATAAAATGATATCACGAGAAATTATGTGATATTGGGTTTATCCCATGAATACAATCACCTTGTGATGTTCTGATCCAATTTCCAGGACATTGGCAGAAAATATAAACTAGAAATTAGAATATCAATTGAATATTTGAAACACTTTCTTTTAACAATAAAAAGTATGCACTACTTTCTGTACATGATATAGTTCGTCATAAATACCTTTTTTAATCGTAAGTTAGCAGCCTTCTAATCAAATTATATACACAATCGTAATTCAATACACCAATGAAACTTAAAGAGAATAAATTAACGGACCTATTTTCTCAAAAGAGAATAAATTATCTGACCTAATTTCCAACAATATTGTGGCGCGAAATGCAAATGTGATATCACACGGATATGCGTGAGATAAACGATATCACACGCATATGATTTTCTGGAAAATATCACACGAATTTCAATAATATCAGAAATATCAATAGCTGTTATTGTACAGATAACACATTAATCGTGGGATAAATAGGTATAACACATTTGTCGTACGGAGTACGGAGGCCGTGCGTCGACCGCAGATCAATTAAATCGTAGGAAAACTACGCTCGCCTTGCGGCCTCCGTACGGCGTATCCAGTTTTTTACAGGCCGCAGGGTCACCGTAGAAATTATAACTCGGAGTTATAATATTTGTTCATTTCTGAGGTCCCCGTAGAAATCAACTGGCTCAACAAGATTGAATCATTATTTGTCAATGTTTCACGATCACTTTTCATTTGATATTACATCCTAGCACTATGAATAACATTTATAAATTGTCCCGATGTAAATAAAATGAAAAAAGTATTATTTATCAACAGAAATTTAAAATTCACCGTGCAGCTCGTGGGAAATGTGACTGCAAAAGTATGAGAGCGCAGAAATTCCACGGCGAGCGTAGAAATGTTACTGGCCGCAGAAATGATAGACCGCAAGGTCGCCGTAGGAAATGTGACTGGGGTGTAAGGGACGTTATTATCACAATACTAATGACATTGCTTTTAAAAGTTGCTTTGAAAACATTTGTTCCTAGAGTGGAAAATCTAAAATGTTTGAAAAGTAATTGTATTAATTGATTCCGGCGTGTCACTGAAAGTTATGCAGTCACATGCGATTGTTTGTAAAACATTTGGTAAACTTAAAAAAACAATTTGTAAATAGATAAGAAAACGTGTTAACATTAATACAGTATACTTTCGAAGCGTTTAATTCTACATGCCCGAAGCGTTTACTCTACGCTTCCCCATCGCTTCCTGTTGACAATAAAGATACGTTGATGTCATCATGGTGTCCTTTCCTGATCGTTTACTCGACAATTAGCGCCAATATGTTCTTCAGAGTTTACTAAGTGAATTCTGTAACAACTTGAACAATGGATTGTTTATTCAAATGTCTATAAATACGATAATGCAGATTCACTGCATTTTTGTTGTTTTTATTGACGATAAACATAAAGATGGCGTTATTGTCAAAATAGATCCATGGTATGTCATGAAGAGGAATATCCTTGTTATGATTTAGTCAGATACAGTTCACCATTATCCTTTTTTCCATCATGATAAACCATGACATCTCATTTCTTCTCACCCCTGAGGTGAAACAGAAAGATGCTATGAGGATCAGAATGATTTTTCTCTATTCTGATGATTGTTACATTAACACTGTATCGAGCAATGAACAATTATGATATGGAAGGAAATGACTTCCGAAGTATATTCCGTTGTCTCAGTACCCCGCTGTCCAATAGATGGCCTACGTATACAGTAAGGACTGTTAGTTAACTACACGTGATATCTATAAAATGAAACAAAAATAAAATTTAAAATTTCTTTTTTTAATGCAACAAATAAAATAATAAAATAAAATACGTAGTTAAAATATTTTATTACTGACAGACGGAACTATCCAATTAGCGGAGTCAGATGTCCAGAAACAACCCCTTGATAGTTCAATCTTTTTCAGGAAAGGAAGTGAAAAATTATTTCAAGGCAAATGATTCGGGGTGGTGTTCATGGATTTTCTGACTCACTCCCCTATCAGGCGAGGAGGGGATAAATTATCAATAATAAATAAAAATGGTTTTAAAGTATTTTTTAATGAATTCATTTGGTGATAACTTTGAGCCTTAACAATGTGTAAAACCCATTATCCAGGTCAGGAATTCTCTTAAAAATTCATAGTTATAGAAGTATTAAACAAATATTGTATAATATGGAGGGCAATACTGTTCATCGTTGAATGATGTTTGCAGTGTACATACAGTGTACAGGTGTTGCCCGAACATAGAATGAAACATTTGTTTTATTATATTATTACTAGACATTCTCTATGATCACTTTGGATTACAAAGAAATATACAACCTATGGCCATTTACTTTAATCAATAAATGTATCATAAACCCATAAGTTAACATAATTATAGTAGTATCATCTAGTATAGCTAGTATCATCGTATATAGCTGTTTATCACAGACAGAAAATATAGCTTGGGTAGCTGATGTATTCATAGAGGAAATTTATCGACACTTTTTGGCGCTAGTGACTCAGGGGTAACGTTATTTTACCTTGATAATTTTTAAGATATCGAATGTATGTATCTCATATGAACTCATGGAAAGATGAAAAATGGTGCACATAGTCTTGTTGCTAATTAAGGTATTATTGCTAATTAGATGTAAAAAATGATTGGATTTTTTTTAAATTATTGTTTCTGAATGGCCAGGGGTAACCATATTTTACCTTAATTATTTTCAAAATATGTAATATATGCAATTGAAAATGTCACTTTTTCAAATTTCCAATCATTTTTCACATCTCCCTACGAATAATATGCCAAAACAAGACTATATATACCATTTCAAGCTCATCTGAGATGCATATGTCTCACAACACAGAGCCTACAAAGGACGGACACTATCCAAAACACTTATAAAAATGATTTTAAAAAGACGTACTCTGATAATTTAACCTTTCATATAGTCATACTGAATCTAGTCTCTCATATAGGTCGACACCGGCCGGGCCAGACGATTTTAATATTATTGTTTTATAATTGTATGTATTTTAAATGGCGTGCCGAGACATAAATAAAATATAACATAACATAACATATCTAATTAAGAATGATATGACAAAACAAGACTAGTTGTACCATTCTAAGTCCATAATATGCATACATTGCATATCTAAAACTATTTCAATTAGCAGAACTATTAAGAATTTAATACATGAAAAACATGAACTTGAATTGCTCTGATAAATAAAATAACATTTTCAAATTTGGCAAAAGGAAATTTGAATGTGACACTTTTATAGTCCCATAATTAACAGTTTCAAGTTGGAGCATGTGTATGTTGAAAACGGTATTTCAACTTTTGAATTTTTGGATTACCATATCGAATTTTCATAACTTGGCTAAAATTGAACAAACAGTGACAAGGAATAAGAACTTTTTCGGCCAAATCTTATATGGCAAAAATGTTCGTATATCAGAAATGCAATAACCCAGATGCGAGTAGAAATAATCTTGATTTACGCCATTAAAAATTCAAAATTCAGTCAAAGTAATATCATATTTGAAATCTACATGTAAAATTACATCTAGAAATGTGGTTTAAAGGTGTTTATCAACTTTGAAAAATTAATTTTCTTTGGAAATGTGACTTCTAGCTCGGGGAGATTCCCCATAGACCCCATGCTATAAAATCACAAAAAATGAAACATCTTTTCTTTTAGTGGACAGATAATATTTTGCTTTACTGGACATATTTTCATTAGTATAAGTATCAGACGCATAAGGGTTATATGAAAATTGAGCCACTTAAATTAATAATATTCAAGTTTAGGGGAGCTTTCTTATATAACTGCCATGTTAATTGACATGAATCAGCCACCTGGTGGTGAAACTGGTAACTACCTACTCGCATTTGGGTAATTCAAAGTATCTTTGTATCTCCTCAGTTTATGCTCATGTAAGTAAACAATCTTTGTACCCCTTCAGCTTATAATGGTGGCTATGTCTATTGATACTAGAGATACATGAACAGACAGTAAAGATATCGCAAGGGGCGTTATATTTGCCACTCAGATAATATGTGGTGATTATAAGGCAGGAAAATATTACCGAAGCTGGTGTTAACTGAACGGTAGAAAAATCGACATGGCAGGTATTTAAATGTGCTTCATTAATACTTAAATATGTTCATTGTGTTATATTGTATTAATGTGTTTAGGGACATATTGAATATAAGTGGTCTGAGTGGTTTATTTGCCGAATGGTCAAATTTAACCTTTTTCCTAATTTTAATCTTCCTAATGACAAGAAACTTCCCCTTGGATAACAATTATGAAGATGATATTTCCGCATTTAATTTTCCGAACCTGGTAAAAATTATAGGCAATACGCAAATTAAATGATTAGGCAAAAGGACCACGTATACAGAAGTTATCCCAGTCAAACCATGGCTTATGGAGATAACGAGCAAATCTAATTAAGAAGGGGAAATCTGGGTTGAAATATTACTCTTATAAGACTTCATTTTCACAAGCTTCAATTAAAAAATCTCTTGTATTCATATTTCGAGAGTTGACGTCTTCTATCTATATATATAATTTCATTTGAATTCGCTAAATATTCAAAGGCATTAGATGACTGCATTGATTGATTGATTGATTGATTGATTGATTGACATGCTTAATATATAGTAAACACAGAGGACGTTAAACTTTTGAAAGATTAAGAGGATACCTATTTATGTGACTGTATTGTATTACTGTTTACTGCATTAAATGTCAAGTATAATATCTGCTATTTTACAACCGCGTATATTTCACTTATTAATGGTATACAAAATGTTAAATGATATTTTGAAACACATTTAGCACTCTCACAATCATTACAATAACAAATCCAAGTGGCTTTCACGATTTAAGTTCCATGTACAATTGAAGAAGTTAGAAATAGACAAAGATAATAAATCTTAACCTGAATTAAATTAAAAGTTTTAGATTTCCACACATATTACCTCATTTCCTATATACGTTATATTTAGGGTGAGGATTATGATCTAGAAACTGGGCATGTGTTAATACAGCCATTCTCTCTGGAATCTTAAAGTCACACTTTTGAAATATGACTAAGTCAGAAAAAGGCTTCTTACTGGTAGTAGAATGCAGTAATCTTGATTTACTTCATCAAAGTTCAGTATTCAGTATTTTCATGTTTGAAATCAACATGTAAAATTACATCTAGATATATGGTTTCAAAAGGTGTTTTCTTCTTGCCATATTGAACAAATATCTTCTTTTATTGTATATATTTTAGGTTGTATAACTATCAGACATATAAGGGTAATATAAAAATTGAACCACTAAAACTGATAAATATTCAAGTTTAAGGGAACTTTCTAATACCCTGCCATGTTATCTACCCCGAATTAACCACTTGGTGGTGACAATGGTAACTACCTACACACATCTGCCTCATTCGCTTTGAATATTTGAGAAACAATTATTTTTCCAACTATTTTTTCATAATCTCTAAAACAACTTTTGGGAGTCACGAAGAATGGTCCCAATAGGTATTAATAAAAATGAATTTGAAAAACGCATTTTGTAGCATTATGGGTCACTGCACTAAATGATCCCTATCTTAGTCTATCTGGGTTCAAACTCTTAATATTCTCCAAAGTATAGTTTGACATTGAATTTGTTATTGTAAACCTAAAAATAATCCATTCTGGCCATAGGGGTAATTGTCATATTGAAATTGATTTTCATGAAATTCATAAATGACCCCTTGGGGATGAAAGGGTTAATATCTAATTTGGCATTCACTAAAAATTCAAATTGAGGTCAGATTCTTCCCATTCAGCTTTCCAACGGTGTATTGGAACCTTAGTTCAGAGGTGGTCATTTATAGCACCCTAGTTTGCTCTACTTATTGCATTATTGTAGAAATTGTTTTTAGTTTTCCTCAAATACAGTATACATTTTGTTCTTAGGGATAAAAAGGAATGATATGAGCCCAACAATTATAAAATTGAAACAATATTTTCAAGAGTACTCTGAGACTTGTGAGGCCCATCTTGCTAGTCTGATACTACCTTTTTACATGGATTCTGTTATATTTTAGATGTACCTGTAGTCACGTTATTGCTGACAGTGATCATCATGGTTTTGATATCACAGAGTGAAAGTATAACCATAGCAGATAAGACAAAGATTGATAAAGGCCTTACAGCGGGACATGAGATTTTCAATTATATAGCAGATAAAAAGTTTTCAGAATCCCTAACTAAAATTTCTTCCGCAATCGGACCATTCTTGGGGGCATTTGGTCCATTTGTCAGCTTGGTTCTTACGTTTGTCCCATCATCGGATACAGCAGTTGTGCAATTGTTGACAGGGATGATGGACAGAATCGAGAACAGATTTGATCAAGTAGATTCACGTTTTGATGAAATAAAACGGCTGGTTGAATGGACTGATGAAGCGGTGAACTTTGGGCAAATAGAACAGAAGATATGGGCGATGAATGTAGCATATAGGAGACTTTATCGTGGAAATGGAACTGGAGAAGCAGCAAATAGGAAACAGGCATATATTGATGAATTTGACAATAATTATCAACAAAGTGGAATAAACCTCTACCATGCAATAGTTAACAAACATGGCACGTTTCAGGAAAATCTTGGAGAATCAATAATGCGTTTCACTGACTACGACCGCAAGAAGACACAAGATTTTCTTCTTGGCATTTTGCGACTCATCTTGAATGCGGCAAAAATCGAAATCGCTTACTACAATGTGAAACAATTCAACTCGATTGCAGAGGAAAGGAAGTCTGAATGGGAAACAAAGATTCAAAGAGTGAAATCTGAATTTGAACATATCGATAAGACAGTTATTCATCAGTGTCATTCTCAATCTAAAAAGGACATCAAAAAGATTTCTGCCGATAATTATAAAATGGGCAATGAACAATTTAGTAGTAAATTGTATGACATGTTAACAGAGAAATACTATTGGCGTAATTGGTTGGTCGTTGTTTATGATGAAGTACGTGGTTTTGACAAGCATACCGTCAGCCAATGTGGTGGATATATAAAATTTCGAAAAGACGGACGAAATCTAGTTGTTGCAAGTTTGGACAAGAATCAGGATGTGCAACAAATGTCTAGGCAAAGCGCACGAACGAAGTTGATCAAAAATGGAAAGTATGCAAAGGAACTTGTAAAGGTGATGGTTTTGCCTGCTGGGTATCCCAAGCCTAAGATTCCATATGCCAGGATACTTTATAAAAAGATCGATACAAAAAGCGCATGTAGCACCATTTCTATTATTTCAAGTGCGAATGTCTGGCACAGGGGTCCTGTGAGCAAACTTGTTTTTCGCCAATATTATGGTAACCTGCAAGCAATTTTGTTTGGGAACTTTAATACTTCCAAAATAACTCCAAGCAGTAACTGGATGTCAATGTCTCGTCAAGACATTAAAGATTTAGCATCCGATTATGATCGCATAAGCAACAAATATTTTAGTAGCAGATTGTACGACATGTTAAAGGAAAGGTATTATTGGCGCGATTGGTTTGTAGTTGTATACGATGATATAAAGGGGTTTTCCAAGCATACAGTTCGGAAATGTGGTGGACATATTCTATTTCGGCAAAATAGAAGAAACATAATGGTGTCGAGCATTGACAAGAATAAGAGTGTTGGTACAAGGACATTGCAAAGCGCAAAGTCAAGCTTGAAAAACATTCCATGGAAAGGGACGGGAGATACATTCGCAAAGAGAATGTATAACAAGATCGATAAGACAGAGGCGTGTGGTGTTGTTTCTGTTTTGACAAATGCGCATGTATCGTACAGAGGTGATAAAGACAAGATTGCTTATCGTAATTTAAAGGGTCACTTACATATGATCCTGTTTGGTAAATTCAAAAACTAGAAGTTTTCAGAACAGAGATTTTAGAGGACACTGAACCCACAAATTGAAAACAATTAAAAAAGTGATATCAACGTAGGTTCTGTATTCAACTATTTTCTCAGATTGTAGTTTTTTAGCTAGATTAGTTCCTTATTTTGTACATGTCGTGATTTGATACTATTGTCAATAAAAGAAATTCATATAATTCAAAATATTCAAATCAGTGCTAATCGGCGGATTATCTAGTTTTATTTCTCGATTTACATCTACTTATAAGTCACGATGTGGATTATAATTTGGCTCGAAGTTATGGGAGATAGTCTAGTTTGAGAATGTGTCGATGGTTTTAGGTTTGGTATGTTAACGAAGACCCATTTCACATATTTAGTCCCTCGCTTTTGTTACACTGACGATCGGCATTAATATTGCCAAAGAGGCGATAAGTGGAAAATCATGGAAACAAAATTAAACAAATGAAACTGATGATTTTTTCCTTTAAATAAAATAAATGCCAATGGTATAACATTTCTTAAGACGAAATATTTAACCACTGTACTGTATTGTAAAATTGTTAAATGTAGGTTTACCATGTCATTCCGAACTAATCGTATTAGAGCAAAAAGTACGAACAAGCAAGCCAATGTCATGGTTGAAAAAACCTTCTTTACTAGCTGTTGAAAATGCATTCTACCTATCCCATAAAAATCTACTTGTTGAGACTCGATTAACTTGACTTCTTCTGAGATAATAAGGATATCAGCAAGTGTTTTGACTTAACATGAGCCCGGGGATATACACAATTGAGTCAAAAGCTGCATATGCATAGGATAGACACAAAATTATCGTTATCTCAGGAGAACACAAGTTGATTGAAAGATGGCGAAGTTATTTGCATCACGTAATTCAATTATTTCTGATCAAGATGGTAAGCATATTTGTATATCGGGAATCCCAAAAAGTGAGGCGTTTTCTCAGTAACAAATTAGCTAAATCTTTGAAATTTTTTTATTGAGGAACTAGTGTTTCATAAGCAAGAGCCATATATAAGAAAGATATAAGTTATAGGGAGAGTATTGTTAAATTAAAAACAGCACGCAAAAATATTCAATATCAACGGAAAAGTCACGCAATCCAATCTGAAAGGAACTGAAAGTATTTTTTGAGCAATAGCAATAATTTGAACATTTGTATTGAGGAAATAAAGAGGGCATATATCTTTTATAGACTCAATAAACATTCCATGTAAATGACATATCAGTCACTACAGTGTACAAAAAACTAAAAACTACAACTACATACTACAAAACTACTTTACATCAGTTTCACATGTCAGGGTATGATATCAGTGTGGTGTATCCATAATACATGCGTTTTAAAAAAATGTTTACATAATATTTATCATTTTCCAAATTTTTTAAAGAGTGATATACAAGGCTAAATGTAAGTTAACATGAAAGCTTTTACTAGACATAATAGTTTCAAACAGTTTATCTGGATCTTTGCACTGTTTCAGATCAGATTCTAAAGTTTCAAACAAAAGCTCTCTGTGTTTTAAGTTCTTTGTACAGCTTGTGATAAAGTGAAGCTCATCCTCAATTACCCCACATTCACAACACAACCTTTCACTTGTGGGTTTTGGCTTTGGTTTTGAGTACCGCCCAACTTCTATCTGTAATTTATGTGAACTCATCCTGAGCCTGGTTAATGCATGTCTATACTTTTTATTTTGAATGTTTAAATATAATCCTTTGAATTGGTGAAAGTATTTTTGAAAAAAGTGCTATGAATATAAAAGAGATCGATTACAAACTTTTTAGTAAAATCTGAAAATACAATATAACCTAAAAGTATTTTAAGATTCTTGGAAGAATTTTCATTGCTGGAAATGTTAACATAATATACTTGTTTCTTTTTAAATAGTCAGAAGAAACTGTCATTTTTTCTCTGACCTGGTAGCAATAACAAATGTAGACAGATACAGATACGAATTCGTAACGTTACGAGGTTTCTGTTTATGACCACCCGAATGTGACAACTCCAAGAATAAAAGAAGGTTGGGCTATACACGTTTTTCAGAGAATATCTACGTTAATGTGTAAAATTATGGTCCGTTACGTATGTCCGTTGTATTCATAGTATAAACTTGCCAAGCTGAGAGTAAAGCTATTAGGGAAATAGCTGCGTGTAGGTCCCTGTAAAACAATTGAGAGAGAGGGGGGAAGTAATTGATGGGTCATAATATTACAAGTTCACCCGTAACTTAACCTCATATTATTAATGAAATTTCCGATTCCAAAATGGATGATTGGTGTAAGGATTAATGATTCCCTCTAATTAAATGCATATTTATTGTCGTTATATTGTCACTACGGACTGATCCGTGATGAAGACAAATGTCCATTGGCTTCTTAAAGCAGGTATTTTAACAATTACTATGCATCTGCGATCTTGTCAAATCCGAGATTTTACTGTCACAAGCAGCTTATATGCAAATGACCCGTTCTCATGGTATACAATCATGGTATTAATTTTTGCTGGAGTCACTTCTCGAGAACGTCTACTGCAAAGCTCGTTGTTCAAAATGGCGGACATAAGAGTCGTAGTGAATGTTTAATCTCCTTGATCCCGTGTGTACACTCCCCTCCATAAGTTTGGCAACCTTTTTGGATTTTTGTGTGATCAACATTTCAAATTGGAAATTTTGAGAGAACGTTTTGCCACATAGTTTCACTAATATATTATGTAAAGTCATGAAATCTTGGCATTATGTTTGACTGATATTCAACAATCTTTACGTAGCGTTGGAATTGTAATTAAAATGTAGAATCGATGTTGTTAAGGCTAAATCTTTGAGAGGTTCATTTTTGTTAGTTTTTGTTGCTTTTTTGTGCTGAAAGTGCACGATCATAGCCCTGCGAGTTTTGCAAACATAAAAAGTAACATATTAAATTTATGATTGCCATGTCGCTTTGTTTTATTGTCCATTATCATATTACATTTTATATGCTTAACTGTGCCGTAAACAGGCAATTAATGAAAATCTGTCATTATTTAACATGAAATTGCGCTCGTGATGTAACATACTTTAAATAAGCACAAATGTTATAAAAGTGATTTTAATATGAAGTCAACAAGTTGATTATCAATATCTAGTGGGATAACCCCGACTTAGGATAAGGGCATGAACTCTTCTGGGCATGCTTTCAAAGAGTCTCCTGGTGTACTGCCCAGGGATTTGAACCCATGCTCTATGAACGGCAATTTCCAGCTCGCGGAGGTTGTTCATTTGAAGATTCTGTATCTGGCGATCAATATAATGCCACATATTTTCAATAAGTGATTGGTCTGCTGAATATGGTGGCCATCTCATTTTGTTAACGCCGCTTTGAAAGAACCACTCTTCAACTTGATTCGCAGTATGAACGGGAGCGTTGTCCTGTTGAAAGACGCAGCGCTGCTCACTGTCACCAAGCATCTGTTCAATGGATGGTAGAAGTTTCTCCTGCAAAATATCTCTATGTACCCCTCTCGTGATGACTCCAGGGACCGTGACTAGCTCCCCAACACCATGATACCCGACGCACCCACAAAACATGAGACCACCACGTCTTACAGTTCGTCCCATGTAGAGGCACTCTGGGTTGTATTTCTCAGCATTCGTGCGCTACACAATCGTCCTGCCATCATTTTCTCCAATATTGTATCTCGTTTCATCCGAAAAAACTACGTAAGACCAATGAGTATTGACATTCTAAAACCGGAAAACATTTGCCCATTTCAATCGTCGTTGTCGTATGATGGGGGGAGTAATAGGCTTTTCTTGGCTATTCGACCGTACAGACTTCTGTTATGTAAACCGAATGAATAAAGACATTTTATAGAGCAAATAAAACTTTAAAACAAAACCAGCATTGTCGGCAATAGTTAGCAATTATTGCGTAAAGTTGATGAATATTTTCGAGAAGTTCGTCAAAATTGAAGTAGGAAAAATAAAAAGTGACAATATCGCACCTTCTCCTGATAGTAGAGTAGCTTGCACGTATGTTAAAGTTCATCTGCCAGAAGGTTTTCAGTCTTGGGACTGTTGTCTTACGTTCTAGCAGGGTATGGTTGACAAGGGCGCGGTCCTCTCTCAATGTAGAAATGTAAGGCCTTCCAGAGAGGGGTCGGTCCCTGTTTGACCTTGTATTTCGAAATCGTTTAATGGTTTTTGATATTGTGCCCTTGCAGCGATTCAGCGTTAGACCAATATATCGCAACGTCCGACCCTCATTGCAGAGGGCAATAACGGTTACCCGTTCATCACGAGTAAGCTGTCGTGCAGACTCCATGAGAAATGAGCGAAATGTTAACGTTAACATACGTGTATCAAGACAGTGACCAAATCACTCATTCACTGTCATGCATGATGGAATCAATTGTTCAGAACTCATTTCACCAAAAAAGATAAAAAAATATATCTCATCAAACCGGTGTAAAAGGGTAGGAGGTCCTATCAAATTATGGTCCTACTTTATATTGATTTATATGGTGGCCTAAATGCAACTCTTTCCCTTGTTATCGTATCCACAATCAGGGCCGGTAAGGGCCTTTAAGAAAGTGGACCATAATCCCCAGGGGACCATAATTTCTTTCACACCGGTATTCTATTTTTAAAAAGGGCACTCCCAATATGTGACCAAATCATGTACCCTCGTCATAGCGAACGAAATAAGCCATTCAAATGCACTAATGCATTCAATAATTGTAGATTATAAAGATCACTTATATCAAACATCCATCTTATCGAAAATATGATGAAAAATTTATTTCTGGAGAAATACTGATTTGAATCTTCTACCATGCGGAAATTGTTTACAATTCATTTTTACATGTATAAAAAGGTTGCCAAACTTATGGAGGGGAGTGTATGGCCTACTGTTGGTACTTCAGATATTGTTAGTGCTTCACCTGAAATACTCGATTCTGATTGGTTGATTAGCAGTCAACAATATGTATTGTAAGTCGTTGGGTCATATGGTGGGTACTATGGTGTGATATTCACCCCCCCCCAAAAAAAAGAAAAGTTTGACAACCCTAGCTCCCTCATTGAACTACAGGGTACGTGTTAAAGCCTCTTTATAATAGAGAGGTTAAGCAATTACAATTACAATTGTAATAGGTCGAAAATTGATGATAAAAATGGATCTTTGAAAATCGTCATTCTCATGTAAACCAATGGGAAATGGTTTGTTCGGCGCAAATCAGATTTCACGATATCTATCCAGTAAAAGGTTTACCAAAAAGATTTTTAAATAGAAAATTGAATTGTCTAACTGTTTTTGTACGCTAAGTGTTT